GGAGACTTGCTTGAGCCCAGGAGTTGGAGGTTGCTGTGAGCTGTGATGCCACAGCACTCTACCCAGGGGGATAGCTTGAGGCCCTGTCTCAAAAAAATAACAATAATAATAATGAACATAAAGGGAGCTAACTGCACAGGCAAACTTTCAGCCAAGACTTACTAGAGAACAAAAGAGCAATTTTCTGGAGACATTGCTTCTACCCATGTTCTGGGAAGGCCTTTCTTATGGCCTTTCTATGGGAGGTCTGCAGGAGGGCAGCCCAGAGAGACCACAGAGGCAGGCTGATATGGGCAGGCTGCTGCCCTTACCTAGATCTGGGGGCGAGGGCTCCTCTCACCACAAGTTTAACTATCAAATGGGGAAGACATGAGTGAGGGTGGGTCCCCATTGTAAATTAATGTCCCCATGCTCCATGCTCGCTCCCCAGCAAGTGACCTGAGAGCTCCCAAATCTCTACTCTCTATCTGATAATGCCTGCTTGTGTCCTGTCCTGTGGGAGCTGTGGGCCTCTCTCTTTGAAATGTCTCCTTCTCCCTCCTCTCTGCTACTGCCCTGGCTACAGGAACCACCGCCTCGGCCACTGTAGGAGTCTCCCTCCACCCAGGCTTGCCTTTCTCTTCAGGGTGGCTAGAGGCATCTTTCTAAAAAGCAATTCCGTGCCTGTGCGTGGTGGTTCACGCCTGTAATCCTAGCACTCTGGGGAGCCGAGGTGGAAGGCTACCTTGAGCTCAGGAGTTCGAGGTCATCCTGAGCCAGGGTGCAAGCTCATCTCTACTAAAAATAGAAAAACTAGTTGCATGTGGTAGCTAATGCCTGTAGTCCCAGCTACTCCAGAGGCTGAGGCAAGAGCATTTCTTGAGCCTCAATAGTTTCAGGTTGCTGTGAGCTATGACACCGTATCACTCTACCCAGGGTGACAGAGTGAGACTCTGTCTCAAAAAAAAGAAAAAAAAAAAGGCAAATCCCTCACTACTCTTCGTAATGCCCTGCAGGGCCTCCCTTTGTGAGCTAATAGGTCCCTTAGCTGGTGAAGGGACTTTTGGCGATCTAACCTCTTACTGCAAAAAGGGACTTCAACCTTTTAAAATTCTTAACCACTTTATTTCTCAGGAAGTGCTTTCTAGAACTTTCACAGGGATTGTGCAGAGCTTGTAGGCTGTATTTTCTTTTTCATGGGCTCTGCTCCCCCACCCACTTCTCATATTAAGAGGGGGTGCCCCATTTCTCGGGCTTACTTCCGCTGCTTGTGTCTGGGAAGCAGCAGTGAGTGACGTCTCTATCAGCTGCTCTTTCGAGCAGAATTCCTTCAGCCGGGCAGGTAGATCTGTAGGCTGAGTGGTTCTCCTGTCCCATGGTTGCTGTCCCATGTTCTGAGCAATGTTGGGTGGGAGCTGGATTTAAAAGGGAAAAGTAAGCAGCCAAAGAAAGAATGAGCAGACTCCGGCCCCAAAGCAGGTTTCCGTGGAGAATGGAGGAGCCCTGGGGGAGCCAGCTGTCCTGATGCCATTGGTAACCCTCGGTGACACAGGAGGGTCTGTGCATGGAAGCCGCTGTGTCCCTCACTGAGCTGTTAGGGTACAAAGCTTGAGCTCACAGAGCAAACCCACCAGCTGGTCCTCTTCCCTCCTCCATCCTCACCGTCCATTGCACCTGGTAGATGTGTGAGGGTGAGGACCAGACCCTTTGCTGCCTTTGTGAGCCACAGGGGAAGCGCCAGAGCCCCTCTGACCCTGCACTCTGCAGTGTGACGAGGCTCCCAGGGCACTCAAAGGGCCTGAATGTGCCCCTTAATTCTGTGCCAGGCCTCCCAGAAGCCTCAGCTCTGTCCTTTTTTTAGGTTAGTGCTAAGGGCAGAACCATGAGTGTAGAAATGCAGACCTTTGGCTCCCGTGCTGAATGCTAAAGAATCATTCTCTGCTTGGCCCAGGCCTGTGAAAGGCTTAAACTGCACTTGGCGTGTCCTCTCTGCAGAATCATCAGTTCACCCCTCTTTTCAACATCATGCACAGTCTCCCACCAGCCACCCATCCATTCCTTGCGCCAGTCCTATGGGCTCTCCCTGATGGTGACACATCTCCAATCTGACCACTTTGCTCCCAGCCCACTCTGGGCATTTCTGCCCTGGTAACAAAGTTGCCACCCTGTTTACTTAGCAGCTAGAGGGATTTTTTTTATCACTATCATTCCCAAAGCTCTTCACTCTCCCCATTGTAGTCAGAATACATCTGTCTCCAGCTGTGGTCATGCCTCTCCCTCCCCTTCCCTCAAAACCTCTGGAGGACTTCATGCTCAT